ATATGTGTAACGTGACTCCAAAAATGCTTGGATTCCTGCTCTTGGGGTTGATCATTGTTTGGATGTAAAATCTGGTAAATGTCCAATAAATACATTTAAATATTCATTTTAAATCACTACAAGCATCCTATAAAAGCCAACTGCATTATTAAATAACTGGATACTGGGAAAAACTGACCCCCAAATTCTAAATCAGGGGTGGGTAACCTTTTAGTAGTACTGTGACAAAACATGATCTTCAAGTACCTTTGTCTGTGGATTTCCATTCATAAGTGCGGGAGGCAGGACTGCCATATAAATTTTGGGGCCCCTAACACCGCTCAAGATCTGGGCCCCCGGGGACTTTCCTCCAAACTCGCCCACAGGATATGCCTCTAAGCCCATGCACAATGTGTGTAAAGTGGAGATAAGGTGTGTTTATGTATTGGATGCAGTGTGTGTAAAGTGGACACGGTGTGTGTTAGTGCATGTGTAGTGGATGCAGTGAGTGTGTGTAGTGGATGATGAAAGTTTGCTAGCTAGCCAAACTGAAACATCGATGTAAAGGTTGTTTCTCCCTTATTGTGGATTACAAGCACCTGGTAATTATTTATTTATGTATTTGTGCAAATTTCTATATACGTATATATGTGTGTATGTATGTGTATATATGTATGTGTGTATGTATACACACAAATTTTTTTGGAATGTAAGCATGTTTTTTATGGAGTATGTGTGTGAATGTCACTGTTTGAATAGAGGCACACATTTGTTTGTGGTGTATACACTTCCAGTGTATACACTTCCACACACGCACTTATACATATGCACACACAGATACACAGACACACACACTGACACACGCAAATACAGACACAGGGATACACACACTGACACACAGATACACAGACAAATACAGACACAGAGATACACACACTGACACACAGATACATATGCAAATACAGACACAACACAGAGATACACACACTGACACACAGATACACACACTGACACACAGATACACAAGCAGACACACACACACGACACATAGTTACACACACACAAAAATATATACCCACACTGACACACAGATACAGAAACACTCATACACATGGACACAGAATACACACCCATCAACACACTGATACACACAAACATTCTATACATATACACACACAGATACACAGGCACACATACTGACACACATGCAAATACAGACACAGAGACACACACACTGACACACACACAAATACAGACACGACACAGATATACACACACAATGACACATAGTAACACAGAGACACTCATACACATGGACACAGAATACACACACATTGACACACTGATACACACAAACATTCCTGACACACATACTGCCATGCACACATACATACTGACACACATGTACTGACACAAACACATACTGAAACACAGGTGCTGACATACATACAGACACACACACACTGACATACATACATACAGCATACATACACAAATACTGACATACAGACTTACAAACAGACACACACATACTTAATGACATACAGATAGACGTACATACAGACACACACTCACACATACATACTAACATACAGACAGACATATACATACAGACACACACACACATACTGACATACATACAGACAAATACATACTGACATACACACACATGCAGCTCATTTTTTAGCCACCCTCCTGGATTTCTTTTCAAATATTTTTTACCTTTTGGGTGCAGGAGGATGGGCTGTTGGGAGTCTGCCTGGTTTTCCCCTTTCCCCCGCGTGGAGGAAGCTGGGAGGACCGTCCATCACTTCCTCCCAGCACTAGTTGTGGTTGTCATTGTTAAAGTGACCCAGTCGCGCTATTAAAGTGCTGCAGCGCTGCCCCCGCCCCTAAAGATATCTGCCCATCGGGTGGCCCTAAATTCATGGGGCACCCACTGGGCCCCATCAGCATGCTTGCCCCGGTGCAGCTGCACCAGCCACAGTTCCGACGCTACAGATCGGGGAATGTGGGGCCGGGTGGCCAGGTCTCCCAGGACTGCCAGGCCCATGACAACCGTCATGGTTGTCATCCCCTGATGGCAGCCCTGGTGGGGAGGAAGTGATCCCAGGTCACTTCTTCCAAGTCCAGCAATGAGTAAAGTGTCCCTCATCACCTGCAATCACCGCTCGGTTTGCACTAGCAGATATCTGGAGTCCAACTTGGACACCTGATAGGCCAGAACCTGTTTGTCTCTGGTAGCCTTCAGTACCGTGCATGGCCCACATGCCATAGAATGTTGGCCCCTGTTCTAGATCAAAAAAGTCCAAACTGGAAATATTGTCCAACTGAATTATTTTCCATTTCATTTAAATATATGTTTACCATTTCCAGTGTAGTACATTTCAAATATATCTCAGGGCATTTGTCTTTTTGCACCATTTTTTAGATATTGATAAATCTCTCCCAATCTTTCAGTTTTTGACCTTCACATCCTATGGTCAATGAAATAGACAGAGATTATAGCAATGATTGACAGGGAACCAAGACGTAGCCGCTCAGTCCCAGAATTTAGATAAATACGATAGTTTTCAACATTTAATGTTATTTTTCAGAACTCACAAACACTGATTTGGCTTATATAGGAGATAAGTAAACATAATTGTATAATCACGGGGAGTTAGCAGTTCCCATTTGTTACATTTCTATCATTCTAAAGTTAGTTTGCTCACTTCTCTAGTCTTTAAGCCTCCAGCTTTTCAAGAAACCCAGAGTCGTCTTTTCCGTGTGTAGTTTGTGAGTTTCCCTTAACGATTGACGAAGCCGTAATGAGTGGACTTTAGCTTTCAGCACATGACGAATATTGGGAGAGCGAAGCTGGGTCCGAGTGATTAAAACCGCGGCTGGCAGGGCTAGGAGACTTGATGAATGTTTCTTGTAATGCCAGAAGCATCTCTATCACTCGTCCCTTCTGGGATCATCCATCTTACTCCGCAGAGAGCCCTCGTAATGGCAACTGAGAGTCTCCCCGCAGCCGTTTCAAACGCTGACCTATCAGAAAAGGTAGTCAGTGCTCAAGAATCAATATTGGACAAAAATAACTTAGTATCTGCCTGCCTGCTGCCATTACAGATCTGATGGGGAGAAATTATCTTGAGTATCAATTATCTCCTTCAATAAGTTAGCGCGTTTTAGCCCCATCGCTGTCACTAATTTATTGTAATTCGCGGCTGGCCTCTGCTGGCGCAGTTAAATGGCAGTTAGTAAATATATTGTTATAGCACTTATTAATAGTACAATCTTTTAAACACCATTCACAAAAAAAAACATATGTGAGTAAATTCTCACTTGAACAGAATGTGTCCAATAGATATATTGCTAATTTGGAGTAAAACGCGATTTAACTCTTTTGGCAACATTCCTCTACTCTTCATCCACTGAGAAACTGTGCTAATATTCTCATATTTGTGTTTCGTGGATATCTTTATAGGGGCGGCATGTGCTAGCCATCCCAAAAATTAGGAAAGTTCCTCTAATTTGTATTATTTATAAAACGCTGTCACACTGCTGCGCTGTTCAACAAGTGGATTTAAAACGAGTAGTTGCAGCAAGACAATTCAGACGTACGGAAGGTGCTGATAGCTGGGCTATATATTCTTAGGGGTATAAATACACACGAAGTGATAATGATTAACTAATTTTCCTTATTTGAATCTAACGTCCCCAAAGAGAATATAATTCAGGTGAGAAAACCAGGACTGTAAAATATCACTGGATAGCACAGAGTCCTTAAGGGTTAAATCACACATCGCTGCATATTTTTCTGTTCGAACAGTTGACATGCTAAAATGAGTTTCATTTGTACGATTTATTAATGATTCACAATTTGATTAAGCTGCTGCTATTAATTACAAAGAAAAGGTTGTTTCTTGTTTTTTTACATTTTTTTGTCTTCTCCCATACTGCCTGCTGTCACAGTTAAACGTACGTGTGTCTACATTATGCAGACACGAGCTTTATTTATTTAATGTGAAATCAGTGGACGAATCAATCCCGTTACCTCAATGACTCGCTTTGAAACCTCAGATTAATTTTAATGTTTTGTTCTTTAGGATAGGTTGTACACATCCAGAGCTTTCTTAATTCCATTAATGTGTTCACTATGACTATTCCACTAGAAATGCGTTATGTGTACCTACTGCTCTTTCTATATCACTATAAGCCTTTACTGCTCCCACTGGAAAGCTATTACAGATATCTACTACCCTTTCTATATCACTGTTACTGCTCCCACTGGGAGGCTATTCCAGGTATCTACTACCCTTTCTATATCACTGTTACTGCTCCCACTGGGAGGCTATTCCAGGTATCTACTACCCTTTCTATATCACTGTTACTGCTCCCACTGGAAGGCTATTCCAGGTATCTACTACCCTTTCTATATCACTGTTACTGCTCCCACTGGAAGGCTATTCCAGGTATCTACTACCCTTTCTATATCACTGTTACTGCTCCCACTGGAAGGTTATTCCAGGTATCTACTACCCTTTCTATATCACTGTTACTGCTCCCACTGGAAGGCTATTCCAGGTATCTACCACCCTTTCTATATCACTGTTACTGCTTCCACTGGAAGGCTATTACATGTATCCACTACCCTTTCTATAGCACTGCCTGTCCTTACTGCTTCCACTGGAAAGCTATTCCAGATATCTAGTACCCTTTAAATATCACTGACTTGCTTGTAATTCTGGTAGAGTTGTGGAAACCAAATGCATTCACAATGGACACAATTGTGTCCAAAATGTTTTCCTGCTATTAGAAATTCACAGAAAAGTATAACCGTAAAGTGCAGGCCAATATATCAGAAAAAGAGCCATTTTGTCCAGCAAATACCAGAGGAGAGATTTGGTTTGTGCAGTGGTTATGGGCACAGTTCTCACTCAGATAGTGGTAGTGGGGCTGGGGTGTGGTGCCCAACAGACCCCACGTTACAAGTAAAACCCTTCTAAAACAATTTGACTACTTACAATGGGTAGTTCCAGGGTACTCCTGGCACCATAACCACTACTGCACACTGCAGTGGTTATGGTGCTTGGAGTATCCCTTTCCTTTGTAGAGCCACCTTTTGCGGCAATCACAGCTCAAGTCGCTTTGGATAAGTCTCTATGAGCTTGCCACATCTTACCACTGGGATCTTTGCCCATTCCTCCTTGCAAAACTGCTCCAGTTCCTTCAAGTTGGATGGTTTGCGCTTGTGAACAGCAATCTTTAAGTCTGACCACAGATTTTCTATTGGATTGAGGTCTGGGCTTTGACTAGGCCATTCCAACACATTTACGTGTTTTCCCTTAAACCAGTTAAGTGTTGCTTAAGTGTGTTTGGTGTCCTCCGTCCTAGACTCAAATCACGCACAGGGTGGTACAGGTTTGGCTCAAGAATATCCCTGTATTTAGCACCATCCATCTTTCCCTCAACTCTGACCAGTTTCCCAGTGCCGGCTGCTGAAAAACATCCCCACATCATGATGCTGCCACCACCATGTTTCACTGTGGGGGTGGTGTTCTTTGGGTGATGTGATGTGTTGGGTTTGCGCCAGACATAGCGTTTTCTTTGATGGACGAAAAGTTCAATTTTAGTCTCATCAGACCAGTGCACCTTCCTCCATACATTTTGGGAGTCTCACACATGCCTTTTCGCAAACTCAAAACGTGCCATTTTGTTTTTTGCTGAAAGTAATGGCTTTTTTATGGCCACTCTGCCATAAAACCCAACTCTATGGAGCGTACAGCTTATTGTCGTCCTATGTACAGATACTCCAGTCTCTGCTGTGGAACTCTGCAGCTCCTCCAGGGTTACCTTAGGTCTCTGTGCTGCCTCTCTGATTAATGCCCTCCTTGCCCAGTCCGTGTGCTTTGGTGGGCGGCAGGTTTGCTGTTGTGCCATGTTCTTTCCATTTGGTTATGATAGATTTGATGGTGCTCCTGGGGATCATCAAAGATTTGGATATTTTTTTTATAACCTAACCCTGACTTGTACTTCTCAACAACATTGTCCCTTACTTGTTTGGAGAGTTCCTTGGTCTTCATGGCAGTGTTTGGTTAGTGGTGCCTCTTGCTTAGGTGTTGCAGCCTCTGGGGCCTTTCAATAAAGGTGTGTATATGTAATGACAGATCATGTGACACTTAGATTGCACACAGGTGAACATCATTCCACTAATTATGTGACTTCTGAAGGTAATTGGTTGCACCAGAGCTTTTATGGGCTTCATAACATACACACATGCCAATTTTCTGTTTTCTATTTGTAAAAAATAGTTTTCTGTATATATTTTTCTCATTTCACTTCACCAACTTAGACTATTGTGTTCTGATCCATCACATAAAATTCAGATTAATAAAACATTGAACTTAAGGCAGTAATATAACAAAATAGGTAAAAAGTCAAGGGGGTGAATACTTTTGCAAGGCACTGTAAATGAATAATGAGCAGATAATTCAGAAAGCCGCTAAAACACTAGTAAAATATGGATTCAGACTATATTACATGTCATCTCTCACTGATGCATCTGTGTTTGGCTTCCAAACCCCATAAGTTTTATTTTTTCCTTCTATTAAATAGAAAAAGGAAAATGAATGGATTATAGTATGTGAAGGTATTAGAAGGAATGATTTTGCCGGTCATTAGTCATACGAATTTCACACTTGCGTTTTTATGAGGTGATATAAATATTCACAGACTTTGTCAAGGAGCACAGTCTCAGTTCCTTTTTCGGAGGATTTGTGGCGCTGTCTAAGACAGTTCCACTTACTCCCAGTGCAGCTCAAGGACCTTCTGAAGAGGCAATGGGCCTTACCGCCTACATCTGTTTACTTGGCTGCATGTTCAGATCTAATCTATTACGTCAGACATCCCTGCCTGCCGGAAAACAGCACTTCAATTGCCTCCTTTTGTAACTTTTGTCATTTTTTTATAGTTTTTTTTTTTAAATTTTTAATTGAGGACAAATACACATTATAATAAGTACAAGAGTAACGTAGACACATTGTAACAAATTAACATAACTAATGGCTTCATAGACCTATAGCCCTGTTCCTAATACGACCACACAACTTGATAAAAGCAAGTTTTTCACAACAATCTTGGTTTGAATTTACGTAGAATGTATCTTTTATTTATTTTTGGGGGTATTTATTTAGACAGTCTAGATGTTTGAAATCCTTATCTATTTCACACACTAGATTTTTAACTTATCTGTAAATTGCGTAGCTGAATCTCCACTCATAAATGTTATGCTCCCTCTATGGAAAACCTCTGAAAAACCTGTTCCACAAACCTTTTGGCAGACATACCTGTAAATTATATTATATATAGAGCAATTTATTAGGTATTTCATGAATAAATAAATAATATTGAAATATACTTATCTGACCATCATCTTCTCCTCCAAGATGACTGGCACAGTGGATGTGTGGTTGTCCCACAGTACAAGGCAGTGGCGTCATGTGTATAGCCCATTACTGCTATGCCAGTGGTGTCATGCTTGTAGCCCATTACTGTTATGCCAGTGGTGTCATGCTTGTAGCTCATTACTGCTATGCCAGTGGTGTCCTGCTTGTTGCTCATTACTGCTATGCCAGTGGTACCATGCCTGTAGCCCATTACTGCTAGACCAGTGGTGTCATGCTTGTAGCTCATTAGTACTATGCCAGTGGTGTCATGCTTGTGGCCCATTACTGCTATGCCAGTGGTGTCGTGCTTGTAGCCCATTCCTGCTATGCCAGTGGTGTTGTGCTTGTAGCCCATTCCTGCTATGCCAGTGGTGTTGTAGTAATGTCTGCAAGGGAAGGACACGGATAGGAATATTATTAAAGCTATGTGTCTGCTAGCAGTTCAGTTGTCACAATGTAAAGGTGAAATGGTACTCACCCAATGATGCCTTCATCACACGTGTTGTTTAAATCCATGAAAAAAGCACAAATAATGTTTGTTTTTTATAGACTCAGATTTATTATTATTTGTTTAATTGGTAGAGATTCTTTAAAATAAGTTAAATCTGTTTTCGTCTTGCAACTCCTGACCTTGCGGCATGTTGTCAGCCGGTTTTATCTGCAGAGCTGAACTTGTTTCAGCCTGGTTGGAAGGTAACGATATTTGCAGAGAGGGCACAAGTTCACGGCGAACACTTTCCAATCAGCAGTTGTAAAGACATACGGCCTGTGTAAAGACAGAAGCTATTTTAGTTGATCCATCATTATTTTTATTGGTGATCTTAAAATATACTGGAACGCATGTCTTTTACTACAAAACTGAGCAGCCGGCAACAACACAGGGCCCCAGCCTCTCTGCCGAGTCAAATCACTTCTATTGATTTCAATAAAAAGGGATTTATGCAGAAGCACTGCTTGGTGTAAGTGGGCCAAATCCTTTACTAAAAGACTAATGCTGCAGGCCGTGACTTTAGCACGTTTGCACCGTTTGATAATGTATTTAATCTATTTACATAGCACTCAATTTTATTAATCTAGACTAACAATTACTTCATTTATTTTGTTGTTTTCGTAATTAATCCACATAAAAGACATCTGCTTTGACAGCCGCTTATTAATGTTATTGCTTGATGATCTATTGGCCTGGAAGGATACGCATAACTGGCTGTAAGCCACCTTCGAAGAGCTGTGTTCGCATGAAAAGCAAATAAATATCTCTTTATGACAAACCATGCAAATCATAGGAGAGAGACTTAACCAGTCTTTACAATATTTTATAAAGCGAGAAATTTAACAATAAATGAGAGAATTACAAAATGTTACAGGAACGATAGGTAGATAAGGACCTGGCTCAAACAGCTTACAAGCTGGAGGTCATCAGCTGATTACATGTATTAACACTTACTCTATGAGTAATAAAGTATACTATTACATAAAACAAATAACTAGTAACTATTCTATTTTTTTTACTTTATTTTATTTTGTGGTTTACCAGTATTTGCTATAGTTCAATTATTATTATTATTATTTTTCCGCTATCATGGAAACGTTGCAATCACTCCTTACTCATAGCACTAACAGGAGCCGTAACCTCCTCCAACTGGAACTTACATGAGAGACCCGAGCCTTTTTTTTTTTTTTTTGGATATTTAGCCTTTTTCATAGTCACTTTCATCCCACTGTAACTGCTTTTACCTGTCCACCCCCCAGACAGAGCATCAAAATATATTGAAATATTTTATGATTTAAATATGTAACTTATTACACTCCTAGAGGTTTCAATCATGAAACAGTAAGCTGTAGACAAGTGCATTTCATAATTTTTACAATTTTCATTGTTTTGACACTGCGAAACAGACTAGCCCACCAAACACTGATAGCAACACAGACTGTCCCACCAAACACTGATAGCAACACAGACCGACCCACCAGACACTGATAGCAACACAGACTGTCCCACCAGACACTGATAGCAACACAGACTGTCCCACCAGACACTGATAGCAACACAGACTGTCCCACCAGACACTGATAGCAACACAGACTGTCCCACCAGACACTGATAGCAACACAGACCGACCCACCAGACACTGATAGCAACACAGACCGACCCACCAGACACTGATAGCAACACAGACCGACCCACCAGACACTGATAGCAACACAGACCGACCCACCAGACACTGATAGCAACACAGACTGTCCCACCAGACACTGATAGCAACACAGACTGTCCCACCAGACACTGATAGCAACACAGACTGTCCCACCAGACACTGATAGCAACACAGACTGTCCCACCAGACACTGATAGCAACACAGACCGACCCACCAGACACTGATAGCAACACAGACTGTCCCACCAGACACTGATAGCAACACTGACTGTCCCACCAGACACTGATAGCAACACAGACTGTCCCACCAAACACTGATAGCAACACAGACCGACCCACCAGACACTGATAGCAACACAGACTGTCCCACCAGACACTGATAGCAACACAGACTGTCCCACCAGACACTGATAGCAACACAGACTGTCCCACCAGACACTGATAGCAACACAGACCGACCCACCAGACACTGATAGCAACACAGACTGTCCCACCAGACACTGA